TTGATGGCATGTTGATTGATCTTGATGTCCAATGTGAGGTTGAACGATAGGTGCCAATTCTAGGTTCTTTATAAAGAGCCCGTGTGAGCGGTGAGCTTTTACCAAGTAGTACCCTTGGGCACCCGTGGTTTGCATCGTCGAAACCGAAACTGACTGCGCGCTTTGAGTGGCTCCTCCCTGCTGAAATACCAACTAAGCCCTTGTCCTGAAAGGATTCCAGTATCAGCAATTGAGCAACCTGGAGCAATCATCAGCTAGTCCTGGATTAAATCATACGGTCCTTCACTACGGGATTTCCCTTTCTCCATGCACCCTCTGGCCTTCTAATACTTTGACAAGTAGAATAAGGTTATATAACTATCTCTATACTTTACTTACAATAGGAAGTACTAGAAAGGGTTATCTTATAATAAAGTAGTAAATATATATTGAAACCGGGCAGGTTGTATTAGTGTGAGGGGTGGCTGATCAGGGGAACGGACATTAGGTAGACTCGTGGCGGGGGCCTTCAAGGAGGGGCATCATCAATCAAACATCACACTTTGAAGCACCTACCTTTTTCTCAAGTGACTGTCGACATTGCCCTGATCAGAGGGGGCCTTCGCTCACCCCACTTCAATATTATATCTAAAGAGCTTTAAATAAGTAGTAATTAGGACTATTATTATATTAAATTCTTAAAATTTAATAGAGATATAAAATAATTATAGAGCTTTAAGGGCTATTTACTAGCCCTTTATTGATTTATCTATTACGTAGTTATAACTAGTTTTCCACTCTGACTTTATCGAGATACTCGAGTGTAAGAGAAGAAAGATTAGGTATATTAACTCTATAGCTAATTTTCGGAATTCAGCTATGCTTATAGCTTTTTCCCTATCGATTGTAGCTTTGCCCTTATTGGGCTGAGCAAATAACCATTTTCCGTCGCCAAGCGGCTGCCTGGTTGGGGTTTCGCACTGCCACTATGAACCCCACTACGCTTGGCTCACGGCGGGGCGTGACAGCCAGGATGAGCCACACTGCATTTGAGGCTGACACCTGAGCTTCCATGCAACAACGGCAAGGTTTCTGCTACTCGACTCGCCTACGTATACGCCTTTATCGTCTCTTTGGACCGTTTCGCCTTGGATTTTGAGGGCTGTCGTGCTTCTTGTTGGTAGACTTGTCGCCCTGCGCACGTCTGTGCGACCGAACGGCTCCTACCAGTTGCAAGCTTCCGGACTCTCCATCGATATCGACCAGTCGAGCTTCGATCTTGTACGCGAAGCCTACAACGCAAATACCAACGCCGATGCCAGAGCGCCTTGACTGCTACCTAGACCCACGGAGGGTGCTGGGACCGAAAGAATTGGAATGAAGGAATACCGAAATTGAAGAAAAATGGCAACCCTACCGCGACGATACCGCTCGTCTACCTCAAACTCGAACCCCGCCAACACCTCCAAAGCCACGGAAATTCTGCGAGCACTCCTAGATAAGCTGAGCGCCGGTGCACAAAATCCGACCTCGACCGGCTACCCGCAGATACCGACTCTCTTGAAGACACTCAACCACATACGCCAACATGTCGCCGCCGCCGACCCTCCAAGCTCACCTCAAGACGATTTCCGATACCTTCGAGGCTTCTACCGCTTGCTGGAAGTCCTTCGAGCCTTTTCCGGTTTCTACAACCCACAGACGCGAACGCAATCGGAGAAAAAAGAGCTATTTGAGCTACTAGAAGCTGTTCTGGATGTTCTTTCTGTCGCGTTCCGGGACACCCCCAGGCAATAAGCGTTACTTTCGCAATCGGGTCGAACGAGGCGGGTGGGAAGCTCTCGAGCAGACAACAGCCAGCATAGGCCTCGGCGGCAGTGACTCTGACCCTTGGACTCAATATCAAATATTTGGCAAGCTCTTGTCATTCTCGCTGGGCAACAAACGGCTGGATGATCTGTGTCAGGCCGTTGCTCAGTCGATACCTGACAGCAGTAGCCACCCAGCCTCAGACACGAAGAGTCAGACAGCAGCAGGCAATTCGGAGGCCACAGCGATCGAGGAGCCGGCTTTCGACATTGCGCACGAGGTACGCAATGTTATTCAGAAAGACAGCGTCTTCCGGAATCCGGAGATCATACGGACCGTGGTTGGATTCTGGGAATCAATACCACGGGGCTCTGACATCCCAGCTGAGCTGACATCCCTCGTCGTTCTTGATGTCCTGTCCACAGCTGTGTCCGTCTCGGTGTTCAACTTGGCTGCGCTCCATTCCACTGGGGTGCTGTCGCGATTCCTTCGCGTTTATTTCACTGACAACAGCATGCTCAGCGTCCCCGAGAAGGAGAAAGTACTGCAACTCTGCAAGAAACTGATGTATCTGGGTGTCAATCAACCTGCCGATACTCAGTTTCTTCTCGCCAGCAGATCTTCTGAGGCATCTGATTTTGCTCTTGAAATGACTTCCACGTACAGCGGTCCCCCTTTCTTTCAGTTTGATTTATCTTTGCATGGCCACTCATCTATTGAACTGCCCACCCTAGGGCGCTCATTCCCGCCCAACACATCACCAGGGTACACATTCACGGCATGGGTGAGGGTTGACAGGTTCGATCCTTCTTCTCACACAACCTTGTTCGGTGTCTGCGATGCCACCCAGACGTGCTTCCTCCTTATCTATCTCGAAAGGGACACGCGCAACTTCATCCTCCAGACTTCTGTGAAGACGCAACGCCCAAGTGTGAGGTTCAAGTCCGTCGCCTTCAAAGAACGGCAATGGTATCACATTACTTTGGTTCACAAACGGCCCAAGACCATCACTGCAAGTAAGGCCTCGCTCTATATCAATGGCGAGTTTGTCGAACAGCTCAAATGTGCATATCCCATGCCCCCTCCGTCTTCCAACGGAATAGCAGATGGATTTTCGGCCTTCACCACCGCCACACCCAAACCCAAACCAGTACAGGCGTTTCTTGGCACACCGAAGGGACTCGCCAGCCGGCTGGGTGCAGGCCTGGTCCTGTCAAGATGGTCACTCGCCTCTGCTCATCTATTTGAGGACGTGCTGAGCGACGATCTGATTGCTGTTCATCATGCGCTGGGCGCCCGCTATCAGGGCAACTACCAAGACAGCTTGGGTGGATTCCAGACCTATGAGGCATCGGCCAACCTGGGCCTCCGGAATGAGGTCTTTCACCCGGGCAAGGACGAGAGCTCTGATATTTTGAGGGCCATTCGCGAAAAGGCAGGGACTCTACTACCTGAAAGCAAAACACTCCTTAGCATTCTCCCAACTGCGGTCTTTCGGGAAGATGGTCTGCATCAAGACACCCAAATGCACCGCTCACTGCCGAGAGCAGCTGCTGCCAATCTTATCCAGATGACGCATCGCAGTGGTTCTGCGATTGCAATCAATGCCGCCTTGCCATCCCTGCCGGATGCTTTGGCAAGGACTCACGGCGTTGCGGTACTGATTGGAGACCCGGTCGTCATCACACCCTCGCATTTTGATGACAACCTTTGGCGCTTGGCTGGCTTCACCCCACTAGGTCTCAAGATTGTTGAACGTGCTTCCACGGTAGAGGATATTGTTCGCGCTGTCGAGATGCTCTTCTTATGTATCAAGAAGAGCTGGCGGAACAGCGAGGCGATGGAGCGAGACAATGGCTATGCCATTCTCGGCATGTTGCTGAGAGCGAAACTCGGGTACAGCGCCAATTTGGGAGCTGAAAGCGTTAACCTCCGCCTGGCCATTTCAACTGCCGAGCGAGACGCATTGAGCTTGCAACTATTAAGCCGCATCCTTGAATTTGTTGGCTACAACCACGAGGAGCCACTCGAGTCGTTCATCATTAATCCTTTAGCATACCGCGTTCTCCTCATCGACTTTGACACCTGGAGACGATCCGCATCTCTCACCCAAGAGCTTTACTACAAGCAGTTCGTCACATTCTCTGTGATGAGCAAGTATCATCAGTTCAACGGCCGCCGGTTGATACGCATGAGTAGGTGTAGCTCCAAGCCGTCCCGATGTGTAAGCTAACAGTAAGCAGGAATTGTGAAGAGGCTGCTTGATGCCATGAAAGCCGAGATGATTTCAGAAGACGTCATTTCTCATCTAATGAAAGCCTTGGAACAACTCGTCAAATGCAATTACACAGCTGAGGTTCACCGTGCATTGGCCCTCTTTATCACGTATGCTTTCCATTCGCCCGCATCATCTGCCTCGAGGACACCAAAACCATTGTCCATCATCAGTCGATCCAGCACTCCCGGCGGCCTCGTGCGGCGGTCTACAACTGACGTGAACGCACCTGTCGGAAGTGTAGCCTCGAGCTCTCCATCATCGCGATATCTCACCAAGAAGCAGTTGGGCACCAAAGTTCTAGGCATGTACGCCGATTTGCTGTGCGAGAAAGGCAATTTGACCAATATACGAAAGTTCGCCAGGACGGTAACGAACAAGGTGAGGATGCCCGACGATCCTCAATCTGCTTTACTGAGTATGGACCAGTGGCTGCTATACCTGTTGGCCGAAGACGATGCCGAGACGGTCGTGTACGGAGCAAAGACACTTGCACGACTGTTAGTGACTCATGGGACCGCGTACACTTCCAAGTTCGCAAGCAAGACTGGGGGCTTGACGATCATGGCGAATCGTCTAAAGCGCTGGTGGGATCTCCCTACCTTGTGGCCAATATGCTTCAGCATTCTTTTTGGGTATGATGTTGCTGAAATTGACTTCACTCGGGATTTTGAGTTCTTCAGTTTACTGGAGATTTTCGGCAAGTCCAAGGTTGTGTATCCTGAGGCTCTCCCTGTCATCATCTCAATGCTTCAGAACGGCCTCAAGGATGTTTTCAGGAATCAGGAAGATCCCAACTCCCCTCATGCAGAGGAGAGCTCATCAATCGCTCAGACAATTCGCGGTACCGCGGTCGAGACTCGGCCTCGCGCAAGGTCTATGGAACTTGCGCAAGCTTTGGAATCGCGAAGTATGATGGACTCCCTTGATTGAAAGGATTTTACTGATGTATGAACAGACCACACACGAAAGCCCAGCGAACAGGTTATGAGCCATGCATCGACCCTAAATACTGTCATACAGTTTTTGTCCGACCTTCACTCTCGGTCTTCTGATTTCAGAGACTTTGCTCTGTCCTCTGATTATGTTCGACAGCTCCTCTCTGCATTGTATCCTATTGTTGTTAGCACCGATGCCTTGACTCCAGAGACGGAACTGGGATCGCGTGACTCGACCCTTACTTTCGAAGGGGCAGATGTCATCATCCGACCTTTGGCTGCGTCTGGCCCGTCTCCGATTATTCGAACGAGCAGTATCGAGGATCCGACTACGCCACAGACAAATTTACGAGGCACTCCTCTCCGCAAAGCATCGTCTTTCATCCTCCTCTCCACTGCTTCGCAAGCTTCTGACAGCGCATCGACGAAAAACAAACACGCCAGGACCACATCGTCCCAGCACACGAGCGGTGCTACTCGTGATGGTCTGCTGGAACTGGTCATCAACGTTTTCATGGATCAAGTGCTGAATCGGAAGGAATTTCCGGGCTTCGGGCTGTTTTCAAAGGTGCCGCCAGGTTTCCAGGAGCACCAAGCCTACTTCGAGTCCTATGTTCTTCGCCACACCATCAAACATCTGAGCAACAGTATTCAGTTAAAACAGGATATACTGAGCGAACCCAAAGTCCTCACCAACATGGCCCGATTCAGCACTCACATTGGGGAAGCCATCTTCGAGGGTTGGTTTTTGAATGGCGCAGAAGTCATGATGGAGCTTGGCGGCATGCTCTTAGAGTACCTTCAACGGCCTGAAATATCGTCTCTCAAGAGCGTCCGCCTGTGTCACCAAGCCGTCAACACCATACGTGATTCGTTCATGAAAGCCATCCTCCTCCGCTTCTCTGAGCTGGACGACCCTCAGACGCCAGAAGAGGATGCGACGAGGTTCATGGGGAGGTTGTTCTACTGGCAGACTTCGATCCTCGGGTGCTTATCTGGAGATGATGAGTATACACGACTACTTTGGTACCAGCTGTATACCAAACTTGTAGACGAGCGGGAGTCTATTCGTCTAGCTGCAGCTAACATCCTGCGGATTATGCTTGTACAGAAGCCTGAGGAAACCACTGCGCTCTTCAGACAAGGCTTGTCAAGTGACGAACGGAAGCTGACGGCAGATTTCAAAAAGCTGACTGAAGTCGACAACGAAACGTTCGTCGATTGGGTTGATCAACAACGACCATCGCTGGACGCCTTCTTCTTTGGTGGTATTTCTAAGACATGGGAAGACTTCGTTGCCATCGAAAATCAGAGAACCATGGAAAGTGGCAGAGTGCGCCTTTTGAGACGGAAGGAGCGCCTCAAGGCGTGGCACAACGAAGCCCTCATGGCAGACAATATCATGATCAGACACCAAATGGCTAACAGCTCATGGATGAAGAGTATCTTCAACAGTGAGCACTTTAAACATCAGCGTCTCATGCAGGACCAGCAGGATGACATGGCTTTCTTGGCCTCATCACTCACCAAAATGGACCGGGAGCTTCATCGTCCAGGCGCTGTTTTCAGTGAGCACACTCATCTCAAGTGGAAGCTTGATCGGACGGAGGGTCGAAATCGAATGCGCCTCCGACTATTGCCCGATTACTCCAGAGATCACGAGGTGTTTCAACCAAAGCGAAAGGCCGGCGACGGCGCGATTGGATCCGCACCAAAATTGAATACAGCCGTGGCGATCAGTCCGACGCCTCCCTCAGCTACACCCACAGCTCCCAAAGCTTCATTGGCCCGAGGTCTTGACAGCAACGATCTCGAAGATGACTCTGAAGCTACCTTCGCCAAGGCCGAGGCTGCAACTTCCGGGTCAGTTGTCGCGCCGGAAGATGATTTTGAGCTTGTGGATGATCCAAATGATGCTTTTGACGGTGATGATGGCTTCGAAGACAAGAATCGAAAAGTCATGCGGCGTCTCGAGCAAGGTGATCAAGTGCTGGCAGTCTACAATGTTTCCCGCATCGTTGGCCTAGAAGCATGCGAGGGCATCTTGATCATCGGCAAGGATGCGATGTACATTGTGGACAATGTTTTTCAATGCGCTTCTGGGGAGATTGTGAACGCATGGCAAGCCCCACCCGATGAGCGCGACCCCTTCTCAGAAATCATCACGGATGCGAAGACCACAGAGAAGCGACAAAACCTGGGCCGCAGCGAACAGGAATCGAGGAGTTGGCGATGGCACGACGTAATCAGTATCTCCAAGCGACGTTTCCTCTTCCGCGACGTTGCTATCGAAGTATTTTTCACGGACGGACGAAGCTATTTGCTTACCACAATGAACTCTCTATCAAGAGACGAGTTGTTCGGAAAACTCATGAATAAAGCGCCGCACACATACGCAGCGAGCTCACTACCCAATCCAGAAGATGGCTGGAGACTCGAGACTCTGAAGGTCTTCGAAGAATCCCCACAAGGGCTCAGCTCTAAGTTTGGTAACATCTTCAATACTGCGCCATGGAACCCCTCGATGAAGAAATGGCAAAAGGGGGAGATCTCCAACTTTCACTACCTCATGCTCGTCAACACAATGGCTGGTCGTACCTTCAATGATCTAACGCAGTATCCCGTTTTCCCTTGGGTGCTGGCTGACTACACCAGTGAGGAGCTCAACTTGAACGACCCCGCCACGTTCCGCGATCTCTCCAAGCCTATGGGAGCTCAGACATCCGGTCGAGTCTCTGGTTTCAAGGAATCTTACAACGCCCTGGAAGAGATAGGAGAAACGCCCTTCCATTATGGAACGCACTATTCCTCTGCCATGATCGTCTCGTCGTATCTCATCCGGCTTCCGCCCTTCGTCCAATCTTACATCCTGCTGCAGGGCGGATCATTCGATCATGCTGATAGGCTGTTCCAGTCCATCCCCCAGGCTTGGAAATCTGCATCATGCGAAAACAAGGCCGATGTCAGGGAGCTTATTCCAGAATTTTTCTGCCTGCCAGAATTTCTGACAAATATCAATGGGTACAATTTTGGAAACCGAGAAAGCACTGGTACAAAGGTCGACAATGTGGTGTTACCGCCGTGGGCCAAGGGTGATCCGAAGATATTCATTGCCAAGCACCGCGAAGCTTTGGAGAGTCCCTATGTCAGCCAACACCTACACAGCTGGATCGACCTCGTCTTTGGCCTGAAACAAAGAGGCGAGGCTGCCGTCGACAACCTGAACGTATTCCATCACCTCTCATATAGAGGCGCTACCGACTTGGACAATATCAGCGACCCACAAGAACGAAGGATCGCAGCGGGTGTCATTCATAATTTTGGCCAGACACCTCACCAGGTATTTTCCAGGGCACATCCGCAGCGAGATAATGGTCAAAGCCCTTCCCGGAGACTGGACACGTCCGTTTATGCCTTGACGCGACTACCCCATCCTCTGCTTGGTAGGTGATTGGGCACGAGTTTGTACCATGACGGAGCTAATACCACCACAGAATCTCACGACAAGGTTGCTACACTTATTTATGCCAACAAGCTCGATCGCCTCTTGTGTGCCTCTTCTTTCCGGCTCAATGTCCCGCCGTACGACAAATGGTTAGAATGGGGTTACGCTGATAATAGCATTCGATTCTTCTTCAGCGACAACCGAAAGGTATGAACAGTGACGCTCATCACCAACAGAACGACTTGCTAAACTTTGTGCTAGGCTGCGGGAATGTTCGAGAATCTCCACATCGGTCAAATTTCATGCGTAGTTTTCGCGAATTCGAAGACACTGATTACCGCAGGCGAGGACTGTGTCATCTCCGTGTATGCTGTGCAGACAGCGCCGGGCCGCCCAGTAGATCTTCTACCGCGATCCTCGCTCTTCGGACACAAAGCGCCGGTCACAACAATAGCTGTCTCGAAGTCCTTTAGCACATTTGTGTCCAGCTCCGCGGATGGTCAGGCATTCTTGTGGGACATGAACCGATTGGAATTTATACGAAAGCTACCCCTTGCTCGACAAGTCGAATGTGCCGCGATCAACGACGTCTCGGGTGAGATCATGCTGTGCAGCGGACCCAACGTTGTGCTGTACACCATCAATGGATCCCTGATTCTGGATCAGAACGTGTGTATGGAGCCGGATGACTTTGTCCACGCCTGTGCATTCTATGAAGGCACAGCCAGCGAGTGGCTGGAAAACTCACTCATTTTCACGGGCCATCGAAGGGGCCGCGTCAACGTCTGGAGGAAAATTATAAGGAACGGCAAATGGACGCTCGAGCTCCTCAGGCGCCTCGATCACATTGACCCTCGCTCGGAGTCAGGGCAGAATTATGATGCTGGTATCAGTTGCGTCACTCCGTTGCCCCATTGTGTCTACACCGGGGACGACGACGGACGAGTGGTAAGAGCTACCCTGATCCCGTTTGGCGTTTGACGAAGCCTATCACTGACATGCTTGTAGTTTGAATGGAATCTTGTGCAGCGAGACAGATAGAGTCCGTTCACGCAGGGAACAAGATCTGGATGTTTCGTCGGAAGAGCAGTATCGATATGAATTATGGAATGGGAGGATTTGTATTGAGCTGCCGTGTCATACTGTGCCGGCCCAGGTCTGAGAGCCTGGCATAGATAGCGGCCAAAACTTAGACTGTCGTCACCAGCAGAGGCAAATGTGGTGTGCATTGAACCTGACTCGCTCGCATGCTCCAATGCGGGAGCTGGGCGCTCAATTCTGGACGAAAGAGTGACCAAATCCTCCCTCCTATCCCACACGTCCTCCGACAACACTTAGTGAAGAGCCCCAACGCCAGGTTATGTACAATAGTAGGTGTCGATTCAACGTCGTAAGCAATGGCTGATTACTCGTCATCGTAGCCAGTCAGCTGCTTCCTCGGGCCGGAGGGTACTGTTGTGGTTCATAGTCAGCCGTCGTGCCTCGCGCTACTCTATAGAATGGTGAGCCTACCGGGATATGTGACGGGAATCTGAGGTGCGTTCTCATCGCCAAGCATCTTCCTCACGGGGGGGACGATAGCAAGCTGGACGGGGCCCGCGACGCCAATGACGATGGACCAGAAGTAGGCGGGACGCTCGCGGGATGCCCAACGGAGGTAGGTCAAGGGCGCAGCCCAGAATCGGGGGGTCGCGTAGGTCATTTTCGGCGCTGGCAAAGATGAATTGGTCAGTACTTGTCATCCATATAGTCCGAAAGATGGTGCTTACTGAATTGACCGGTAATGGTGCTGCCAGTTGGGATTGAATAAGCTCAAGCTGGCTTTGAGGTGCTTGATTGACGTTCGCGATGGAACCAACCAGGCTCGTGCCAGGGCCGGAAGAACATCGGATTATCACTGCCCTCACAATTAAGTGGGGCGCCCCTCAGGGGTGGGTTGTTCCGGCAGTGGAGGGTGTCTTGGCATCGGCTACGTATCCCCAAGCTTCGAGACACCTACGATTGGAGAGATCAAGCTCCAGCTCACTTGCGACAGCGAAATCAGAGGCAAGCTGTCGCAATTCTTTGTGCACAATCTCTTCTCCCCCTTTGATACCCTATCGCGAGTCGAGACGACAAGGAATCAAAATGAAGTCGTTTTTCTCGCTCTTCTCGCTGCTCTTTGCCGCAGCAGTGCACGCCATCAGTGCTACAGGTGGAGAGAGGCTACTGGTACTGCTGGATGATGTCGAAGAGAAAGAGCAATACTCCACGTTCCTCGGCGACTTGGAGAGTATGTGCCACCTTCACTAACGCTGAAATTCCATGCAGCCAATGGAGAACATGATCACTGACAGGTGCTGCAGGCCGCGGGTTCAAGATCAGTTACGAAACCCCCAAGAGCGAGTCACTGAAGCTCTTCCACCTTGGCGAGCGAACTTTTGACCACGTTCTGCTGTTCCCCTCCAAAATCAAGAGTACGGCCTCATCAAGGGTTGGATACGGAATGAGCCGTTTGCTGACAAGCGCCAGGCCTTGGTCCTAACCTGACCCCCAACATCCTCGTTCAGTTCGTGAATGCTGAGGGCAACGTCCTCCTCACCACGAGCTCCGCGTCCACGATCCCGTCAACCGTTGCCAACCTTCTTGCCGAGTTTGATATCTCTCTCCCCCTTGAGAGGACCGGCCTCGTGGTTGACCACTTCAACTACGACACCATCAGTGCCGCTGAGAAGCATGATGTTCTCGTCCTCCCCGCCCCCGCCGCTGTCCGACCCGATGTCAAGTCATACTTCCGCCCCGAGACTGAGCCCATCAACGAGGTCATCGCATTCCCCTCCGGCGTCGGCCACACTCTCGGCGCCAGCGCCCTTTTGACCCCCATCCTGCGCGCCCCCAAGACCGCCTACAGCTACAACCCCAAGGAGCAGGGCGACGTTATCGACGCCGACGAGCTGTACGCCGCAGGCGAGCAGCTTTCCCTGGTATCTTCTTTCCAGGCACGCAACTCTGCGCGCTTCACCGTGGTTGGATCAGCGGACCTCTTGAGCAACAAGTGGTTCGACGCCAAAGTCCAGGTCAAGGGTGGGGACAAGGCGAAGACGTGGAACCGCGAGTTCGCCAAGAGGGTTGCCGGCTGGACCTTCCACGAGATTGGTGTTCTGCGTGTCAACGGCATTCAGCACTACCTCAAGGAGTCCCCCGAGGACCTGAACCCTTCCATCTACAGGATCAACAGCACTGTGGTAAGTCTTGACCAATGCGTGCCTTCAACATGTTTGATCTGACAAGCCTCAGTCTTATTCCGTGTCGCTTTCAGAGTACTCGTGGGACAGCTGGGGCCCGTTCTTTGTGCCTGAGGACGATGAGCTCCAGGTCGAGTTCAGCATGCTTTCTGCGTACCACCGTCGCAACCTGAAGCCAGTTCACAGCGACCTCAAGGCGGCGACGTACGAGACGACGTTCGACCTGCCGGACCAGCATGGCGTTTACAACTTCTTGACAAACTACAAGCGCCCTTTCCTCTCCAACGTTTACGAGAAGAACACCGTCACTGTGCGCCACATGGCTCACGACGAATTCACTCGCTCTTACGCCATTACGGGCGCCTGGACACCACTGGGAGGCATCGTCATCACCGTTCTGGGCTTCCTGTCTTTCAGCGCTGTCTGGATGTACAGCGCGCCAGCAAAGCAGGTGGGCGCCAAGAAGACGCAGTAAAAGACGATTTGTTGGCAGAGTTCTGAGCCGAATGAGAAAAATGGATAGAGGAACGCCGTCAGGTCTAGACTGACGCTGGAGAATGTATCAGTAGGATTGTACATCTGGCGAAGGTTATACCCGTGAAAAGGGAACCAAAAAGCTCAGGAGTCATGAAATGCATTTCGAGTTGACAATATGCCTTGACCTTTGCATGATATGGCTGTTCATGACTTTATAGCACGGGCACGAAATCTGTCCAGCTGGACTGGCGGTACGATGGTCCGAGTCACAATGTTCGTATTGGGCGAACGACATGAAAGTGCTGGTGACACACGCCATCAGGAGTATTCGGCTAGCACAAATTTGTGAGTGATCATCTGAGAGAACCGGCTACCTACTCAATATTGCGATGGGTTGACAGCTGTTCAACAAGGAAGGATCTGGGGGTCACTTGGGGAAAGCATGTGCTTGTAGGACGAGGAAGGGGGTGCTCCTGCCTCGTTCCAATGCGAGGCAGTTGCCAAATTCAAGCTCCTTCCCCCCGTCATCTTGCGCTTACTTTTCTATTGTGATGAGGACTGAAATTTTTATTCTTGCGCGAAACACACCACCACGTCCATTCCTCCACCGGGTGGCAGTATTGTCTCTCCTTAGTCTCCCCATCCGCACAACCCTGGTTGAGTCTCGATTATAGTGGCAGTCTTAGCAGTCACATTACCGACATACGACTAAGACTGACACAATACGCCAGAGTCTTTTCGATATTTGGCGCAGGACGCTTCAAAACAACAGTCCATACTTCTCGAGCAGGTCTTTGAGGTCCATTGCAGATACTCGAGCGGATCAATACATATACGGCTTAAGCGAAGGCTTGCAGGTCCCGCGTTGTCGCCATGTTTTACAGCAATGACAGTAAGCTCGAGGCGACCTGGCACGCAGATTGCTCGGCTTACAATGAGTCTCAGTCCTGACCAATCCTCGGCATGGCGTCTCTACCATCTGGTAAACACAAACTTCACAATCCTTCAGTGTACGATTCAACAGGATATTGATAGGCTTTGCAGGCTCGTCGCGACAGTTGGTCCACGGGGCGGCGCCCTGAAGGTCACCCGCAAGGCTATTCAGGAGGTTAATGTGAGAAAAGCTTGCGAGACAATCCTCCAGCCGGGCGCGCCCTTGGCCCTGCGTGTTCAGGGCAACCTGTTGTATGGCGTGTCGCGGGTTTTTGCACAGCAGTGCGTCTATGTCCTGGGCGATGCGGAAAAGACCCGGACTGACATGCAAATGTTCTATCAACTCCTCGCACAAAATGACACCGACCCCAAGGCTGGTCTAGTTGAGTGAGTCTAGATTTCTCATTTCTGATCAAATTTTGCGTTGCACCTATTCTCGAGTGCCTGCTCAGCGTTCTTTGCGTCGTTACTTCTCGCCCATTAGCCTTCTGCTTATATAGTGATGGCCTTTCCTCGGCTTCGCTGTGGAATGGTGACTGCCTTGGGAGCACGAACTACAACGTTAGTTTTGAAGCCCTCTGTGCTAACCAGACGAAGACGAGAGCAGATTTTACTTCCAGACGACCCGAGCTTTGTTCTAGACCCTGTCATTCCCGCTTTCAACTTGAACGGGGGTGGCACTGCCTTCAACACAAGCCAGTCGTCTTCAAACAAAGAGTTCTCGCAACTCAGCCTTGTGAACAGCAGCAGCATCCACAGCGGGCGGGCAGGCTCAATCATGAGTTTCAACCTATCTCAATCTGATGGTGGCAGCCTCTTCCTGGCTTCTCCATTCAGAGTCGATTCATCGGCTAAGAAAAACACACTCCAAGAACGGATCGCCCCTCTGGAGCAATCGAACGACCTGGAGGGCTCCAGCGACATCATGTTCGATATCGACGATGAGGGCAATATCATTGGCATCGCAGATCCCTTTGAGGAGCCCCGTCTCCCCGAACTCCTTCCCTACAAGATTCAACAAGATCAATTCATTAACAATGACATGGCCATGGCCCAAGAGGAGATTCCAGCTTTCGGCGACGATAACCCACTTCAACCACCTCCTAACGAGAACGACGTCCCTGTGCTTGAAAAAGAGCCAGGTAACGCCATGTCAGCCCAGCAGCAGCTCTATTCACCTATACCCCAGCTGAACCCAGAACAAGAGGAACCCATCCCCGGCACCAAAGGGCCAAGTAAGATCCGTACTGCTGGAACGCGTAGTTTCCTTGATTCAAGTACGGTTATTTCGAGACAAGAACATTTGCGCAATCAGGATGATTATCTTCAGCGCATGGCTAGGGAAAGAGCGAGCAAACCAAAGATCAGCATTGCAAAGGCAAGGACCAATGCCTATGCAGTAAGCTTCGGCCAGGGCATACATGGAATCGGCCAAACTTCGGTGGCTCCTGAATTCGTTCATCCTCTCGCGCACTTGTTCGCAGGCGATGCTCTTCGAAACTTGGTGTTTGGTAACCGAGATCCTGATCATCAAGATGAACGCTCGCCAACGCCCTCTGACATCGAAAAAAGCCGTCGAAGGTCTGCGACCCAAGCTTTCGATAACGATTTGGAAGACAATGCCAACGAGAGGCGCGTCCGGCCTCGACTTAGTGAAGAGACCCAAGAGCCCACCCAGGGTCAACAGGACGCGGACATGGGCTTCGTCGTTGACAACGATGATGAACTTCCGCCTGAAGTGGGACTGGGAGAACAAGAGCACTTTGAAGACCGCATGTCATCTTTAATGGTGCCCTGGAACCGTACACCGAGCATTCATCGTCCATCCTCTGTTGGCGTCTTCGGCTCAAAGCAGTGGAGCACTGGTAGTCGTCAGCCCACACTCAGCCCCAAAGTCAGCACTCGACCCTTCAAACGACGCAGCGGAATCGGCTTAGAAAACCACGGATCTGAACTTGTTGGCGAGTGGGGATATTCTCAGGACCCATCCATTGATGAGGAAGTTGGTGCTGCCTTCACTGTTAACCCACATTGGATGCGCAGTACACTCGATGTCGACAGCGAATGCTTTCTGCGGTACTCCTTAACGCAGGCTGAAAGAACCGGACGGGCCAGGAGTTGTGATGGCGAGGAATCGTCGCGTCGGTGGGTCGAATTCGAGGAGCTCGCTCGTCCGGAAGAGCACTCCAAGGCAATCGCCGCGCAAGCATTCTACCATATCTTAACTTTGCGCACCAAAGGTATGCTTGCACTGCAACAGGAGTGGGAGAACACCCGGCCATTCGGCATCATCCGTATCGGTGTCGAGGTCCCAAAAAGAGACGAACATGCTGTTGAGGAGTCGGTCGAGGGCCAAGACGCCTCAATGAACAGCCACACCAACTAGGCCGGAAGCGAAGAATTTGTCTCCGAAGTCAATCTATTTCTGGGCACCTCTGAGAGTGGAATGGGCGGGTGGTCTTTTACTCGGCTTTTACAGACACAGCGCCGGCAACACTACAACGGCCACAATGACACGGCATTCATGATCAACTCCTGGGCTGAAATATCGACTGGCAAAAGGATTCAGGGGTGTATTTGACATGATGTCAGGAGGGCAGAACTCGGGGTTCGGATTTTGGTCGGGTCCATTAACGAAGAACGCAGACAGGATGGCGGAGATAATCTTTTCAGCTGCGACTTGGGAGTTTCTGATGATATTGTGTTGACGCGCCGAGGCTGGGCATGCGTTGCGATGGTTCCATCGGGGGTTTGATCGCTCATCTATGGGTTTGCTTCAGGCGTTTTCATATCACATGGTTTCAGATGAGTCAATCTGAAGATGGTCACAATGAACATGCATGCAAGTGTGTGATCCATTATCAATTAAGTATTCTTGCTCATGACTTCATACAATCCCTAGCAGGACCCGGTCGGCTTAGTCTTCGTCTTCGCCAACGCCCTCACGATCCTCAAACTTCATGTACTCAAGGGATTCATCTGGCCCAGCCGCAGACGCCATGATCTTGGCCCACGCCGATTCGACTGGCTTCAAAGTAGAGTCTGTGAACGCCAAGTCAAGCGGCAGCGTTGGCAAGAGTACCAAGCCCTCTTCATCAGTCGCGGAGCTCTGACTACTGTGAGCTTGCTCATATCGAAGCTGGTAGATCGACGAGAGTTCCTGGGCTGCCTCTGATCCTGACAAGGCAGCGAGGAGGGAGGAAAGCGCACAGTCAAGAATGGCGGAAGCGTTTGGTGTTGCGGGTGTGGTGAAGTAGAGTACGCCTTGTGACACTGGTTAGCCTGGATCGGAGGTGAAGAAAATTGCGAATAACGAGTGTGAAGTTGCAAGAGATCAGACAGAACAGTAATCGTTGACGTCAAAGCAGCGCTCAGCCAATGTGGATAAGTTTGATTATAAAAAATCATCATGATGCAAAGATGTTTTGGAGGTGAGAGTGGGGAAATCGCTTACTTTGTCCTGAAGGGCATTCACCCGTTTCGCTCGAGTGAGCGAAGATGTAAACTGGATACTGCGCCGGCTGGCCGTCGCTGTCGTTCACGGAGCCGGCAGGCATGGCGACGACGGCCACGGCAGGGTTGGGCCCGCCCTCCATGATGGGTTCGAATAGAGAGGCAAGCGGCGAGTTGATGACTGTAACGAGCCTGGCGACCCTGGTGTCCTGCCCTTCCGCCGCCGTCGCATGATCGCTGCGGATTAGCATCCTGGTCTTGACCTTCACATCTCCCGTGCCGAGCGCCACCTCGAACTGAGCGCCATCTTCGTCAGCCTGCAGGGGACGTGTGCTCTTGACACCAGTGCCCAACATGTACACGCCGCCGCCGACGGCGCACGCCCTGCATCCGACCTGCGCGATCTCACTTCCGCCGCCCCACTTGGGATATACGGCAGCGAAGCCGGGACCGAACATGCCCATGGAGGTCAAATGTCGCTCGATAGCGACTAGGCCGTCTCGGACCTTGACGGCTCCGTCCAGAGAGAGGGTGAGGGCCAGAATCAGGGTGCGCAGCTCAGCATCCAGCTTGAACTCGTCCTCGAGGAACGCGGCGAGGGGATCGTCGGCTCGGGACTGCCACTTCTCCTGCTGGGCAGGGGCATTGTGGTCAAGCACGAAGCGAAGAAACTTCATCAGCGCACGCTTGGGACGTGGCTGAATGGCTGTGCTGGCGAAGATGGCCTCTCGCGTCGAAGGGATGGGGGTTAGCAGAGGCAAACCACCAGAACTGTCGTCGCCTGGCCGAAAGACGTGGAAGGCGCCGACGGCGAGAAACTCGAGCTGGCGGTAGGCCCGGGATGAGACAAGCTGTGAGAGCAGAGTGGATCGGGTGTGAATGATGAAGGGTGCGAGGGCTAGAGAGTAGGCGCGGGAGAAGGAGAGGGGGCTCCCGGCCTCTGCCTGCCGTGACGCGGACGCGTAGGAGAACATGGGCGCCTCGGCGGCAGGCTGCTGCTTTTGTAACTGCTCTACCCATGCTTCTGCCTCTTGAAGGGTGAGAGCCGCTTCATTGCCTCCGTAGTACTCGTTGGGATCGAGATGCAATATCTGCTTGCCCGAGCGCGAAAGAGCTCTTCAGGAAGCGCCAGGACTGGGTCAGTCAGTCAGGTCAGGTCGCCTTGATGACGATGCGGGTGGTACTTGAATGGCTCAGGAACTTACAAGGCAAGGAGGGACTGCTGCAGCCCCGTGCCGCAGATGACGACGTCCCAGACGGTCTCTGCGAGGGACTCCATGGTGCGAGGTGTGAAGGAAGGAAACCGAAGAGAAAGATTGACCTCGAAGCAGAAATTGATGGCAAGTTCGGCTGCGAGAGAAGTGGAGAACTGGTGGTGGGGAGTGTACCGTGTGCACTGTATCGGAACACCGTAGAGCCCGAGCCTCAAATTCTCGTCGTTACGAAATTCGGTGCTTTGCTCTTTTCCCTTCTGAAATAACCGCTCAGCATCCACCGCAAGTTGTCAACAAGACTCGCGGGCAGGATACGACGTCTTTCATTAGGCGATCCACGCTGGGCGGAAGACAAACTGCTTTCTTCCTCCAGTATCTGCTGCCTAGAATAACGTCTGATACGGTAGCTCGATGTGAGGAATACATCTCGTCGCTCTTGTGATGTCTTGCAAATCACGGTATTTAGGTGTCATAATGCTATTCACGTGCGCCCTTATTTTGAAATTGTTTATTGGGGTATCATGATGCTCAGGTCATCACACGACGGAACTCCCACGCTCTCTGCACGGCCACAAACTCTCCGACAAGCTCGGCTGTAACGTTGTGCCGCCGTGCTTGGACACTGAGAGGAGCTTCGTCTCGCCGCCGTTCTTGTCACGACAACCGTCAGATTCTCGCGACACAGAGTTTCCTCCAGGCGGTCCGGGTCCACCAGTGTCCAGAAGCGGCCGGGCTCTTTGCCTTGGAAGACGGCAGCCGAAGTGGCAATGGGGAAGCCTGACAATGTCAGCGGCTTCTGCTCTGCGCGCGAGCAGACGACAATCTCGCGGTCCTGGTCCCACCGTGCCGCTGGCAGCTTTGTATTCCGCAGTGCAGCTAGCATAGCGGCCCAGGCGGCGTCGAACGGGTTGCCGTCGAACGAGATGAAGTATATGTCGATGTAGAGCACCCAGTACGCGATGACGACCCTCTCGCCGGCCTCCAGCTCGCCCATGTCATCGTCTTCGTCATCTGCGGCGCTGTAGCCTGTGTTCTCGGCTGGGCGCGTGTGCCATATCCTCAGGTCGTCCGCGTTGACGAGGCCAGAGGAGTGAAGGAGCGAGAAGACACGGGTGCTCAAAGTCTGAGCGAGGTTCGTCGGGGGCACACCGGGCAGGAATTGGGGTGCGGAGCCGGTAGCCAGCTCAATGTTAGGAACGAGGAGGTCGTAGTCTCGGAGCTCGGCGCGGCCGCCATCGTCGCTGTCGCGGATGGAGGCACGATAGTTGGGAATGTTGGCGGTCGGGAGGATCTCGCCGCGGATGCCACAGATGACTGTGTTGTCGCCGATCCGGACAAGGGCGCTGCCGTGAGCGTGGGTCAGAGTAGACGTGTTGATGTTGGGAGTGCGAGCTTCGTGGGGCGCCCGACCGTTACTGCGCGTCGGCGTCGTTGCGCCTGCCGCTTCGGGAGTCTGAAGATTGGCGAGAAGGTATGGGTGTGGGGAGAGTTTGGCGAAGGTCTCGCGGGGGAGACCTTGGGGCGTGGCCATCGCAATTTGACCAAGTGTGTTATGCGATATGTATTGGGGCTAACGAATTGATTGAGATTCGGATTGTACAGCACGAAGATGTGGATCTGGACAGTGAAGCAAGTAAAAGAAGGGTGGATTTTTGGACCTGGCAACTGCTTCGATTTTTCGAGAGCCAGCTCAGCCTCGTAGAGTACTTTGTGCGGGGCACACTACTAGTGGCCAATCAGCGTAGATAGAACCTGAGCTTGCTCAGCCTCGTCATCCATTTCCAGGAAGGAGTATGCCTAGGGAGTGTTACCTTCTTTCCCCTCGTCACCAGCTTGTCTAGGTGCTTTTTAATTGCTCCTCTGACAAACTGCGTCATCAATTCATCTACCGATTGTGTGAAAGGGGAAATGCGATTCGTGAACGACACTTCTGCTTCCAGTACACTGCGGAAGAGATGGTGTACTGGTTGGCTGCCAGGTTGTGTACCAAGTTCAGACCGCTACTAGCTGGGATGAACACGCCTGATCGAAGGGCAGACATGTTGCATTGTGGTCAGCACAGTGGCGACGAACATGACCCATAGACAAATGAAGAACGTGTGCAACCCCGTCGAATACGGCAGCACGCCGTAGTCAAGCCTGAAAGGTGCACCAACCATGTACTTCATGAGACCGGTCAGGAGGTCCCTTTGGGGTACGAAGCGAGGCCACAGCAGTTCGAGGTCACAGTCAAGTGGACATGTCCCGGAACCAATATCCTCAACCATCGGTCTTCGCGCTCGACATTTTCGGCCTTAAGTCAAGTCGACTGTTGGTCCTGGCATTGATGCGGAATCGTCAACAGCTATCACCAACGGACTTGCAAGGGTGGAAGGACGTTGCGGCCCGTAGGTGGGCGATGACCGCCAAGACCGCGGGCAATCTGATCTTCGTGGGTTTAGTGCCGGGATGTGGTCGGCGGGCAATATGCCGCAGGCATCAATGGGAGGTACAATCGCGACCAGACTACCAACCGCCTATCCATCTCTGCTTCAACAAACCAAGAGCCAAGCATCGTCACGATCCCTTCTTGCCCGCCAACGTCCCCATTCGGACAAGACTCCTCAACGCGTACCACGCCGGCCCCAGGTTCGCCAGATATGGCGCCATGCCCCCTGCTATTGTCTGCGAGACTGGCCAAGTCGAGGGCCCAGTCTGCGTCTGCTGCGACTAAAGAGACAAGCAAACGAGCCAGCCGCGGAGGCACGACTCGCGTGAGTCCCATCAACACGAACAAGCAGCACGCACCAGTTGGAACAGGGCAATGCCTTCACTTAATTGGCCTTTCTCGAGCCCTTGGCTTGGAGCATTCGGCTTGGAGCATCCAGGTACCGATAGCCAGTTGGCGAAAGCGCGAAAGCCAGCGTCCAGTGGCTCAAGGCGGTGGCAGGATGCACGGCTCGACACACAGCCTGGGCGAATCACGAGCTTCGCATTGGCGCCCGTCGAGCGACCCTTCGCCCTACTAGGCCAAACTGGAATTCCTGGCTCCTCCACCTGACAAGGTTCCCCCGCGAATCAAGACGGCCATCCCAGCCATCTCGACGACCACCCTCACCAACATCACGGCGCCCGCCTGCATGCCCGCCTGTCCTCTGCCATGCCATTCGATCGCCCATCACGGCCCCCAATATTGCTTGGCCGCGGCTTGGACGGAGCTCGGGGAGCAAACTCCCAGTGTGCCGTGCGTGCACAGAACGTGCTTTGCCTGCAGATTCCCCTTGCCGCCTGCGGCCGTTTGGTCGCCTGAAAGGGTTCTCCCCCGCACACTGCGCGGAGAGAAGAGATAGGTGAACGGAAAAAGAGGCCTGTCATGTCGACCGTTGTTCGCCTTCTTTTGCGCGCTTCGTCTCATGCTCTTGCTCTCTACCGATCCACCCATTTCGAATACTAGCCCACAATGTGCACAATTGCTGAAAGAGAGAGAGAGTCTGTTGACGCTTGAACAAGACAAATCCTTGGTCAAGACAGTACGTGCCAACAACTCGCTGGTCTCGACGATCAATGCGCTCACCTGCCATCGACCCTCCACTTCGCGCAGCTTCCGTTGGACAAGCATCTGCAAGCGCGAGCCCAGCATCACATCCCATCCTAGTGGACGCTTCCCGCCCTCGGCCGTGATTACACCTGGTCTGCCGAGACCCTGGCTGAGAGCTTGCAGCACGACCTGCATACCCACGCACACCTCTAGCGCCTACGCTTCACTTCACTTGTTCACCACAACGAGACCTGGCTGCGTGACATCTGCCAGCGGGGGGGCCGGCCGAAATCTCGACCAGCCAATATTAAGGTCCGGCCAGCCGCTGGGCGTTGCGCCTCCCACCTTGATCCTCACGATCCCGCGACTGGTACTCGACCTCTTTCTGTCTTTGATTGACTGGCTGATTCGACATTGCAACATTGAGTGTGCACATCCACATGGCCATCCTGCATCTCACTCATGCCACCCTGAGCTTTCACCTACAGGCCCTCACGCGATTTCACCTGCTTGCTTGACCAGACCCTCCTTGCTGCTGGTCTCTTGGTCCCATATATCCGGTCTTCCGACCCCAAACCTGCCCACCGACGTTCCTCCACGCTGTTTCACTGCCGGCCTTCGTTCCCTGCCGTGTTACTCCCACGCTGACGTGTTTCGCCTTGTTCGCTGAGGGGTCTGGTATTCCTCTGCCAAACCAAGGTCGTCACTTCACCGTCAGTTAGACTGAGTAGGACCCTCACTTCGGCTCAGGACCTTGGACTCCGAACCTCAACTGGAAGGACCTTCGAAGGGAGCCCACCAGCAACATCAAGACGACCGGCAACACCTGGGTCGAGCAGCTCAGCATCAGTTTCTTATTGAGCACCCCGCAGCTTGTTTTCCAATCGCATGCGGACGCGAATTCGGACCTCCTGCGCGTAGTCGCCTACCCGGACTCTCATCGCGAGAGCGCGCTTTGCCCCTGCTCCCACCCTCACAATGGCCTCACCACTGGGCACTCTGGCGAATGCCGCCTCTGACGCCATATCGCATATCAACAAGCGTATCTACATCCCGCTAGAAGCTGACAGCCCCGCCGGACTGGTAGAGGCCAACACCGTCGACCCTTGGACCGAGTCCGGAAAAGTATGCCAGAGGATGGACGTACTTCGCTTTGGCGCTGGCTGGCACAGTCGTCTTTATGCGAGTCTGGCACTTCTGGCAAGACAAGATTCGACAGGCTATCTACAAGGCCGAAGTCGAGCAGCACTACGAGGACATGTACACCCTCGACCCAGAACGAGCAACCGCGCTGAGGACCGGTCAGATGGCGCAGCACTTCTTCCCTGAGACCGAAGGCCTTGGGGAGAAGCAGTTCCGCCCTCAGAAGCACATGTCCTCCGTTAACTGGATCAATGACACGTTGGCGCTGTTTAGGTGGATTTTCTACCGACCCATCCCTGATATCAAGATCAAGCGACACGTTTTTACCTTTTCATCCCTCGCTGTCCTGATGACCGTCTTCATCGCACTGGTATTCGTCGTTCTTTACTGCTTCCTGCTGCAGCCACTCTACTGGCAGAGCATACAATTTGGTTCGCCCCCCGGCGCGATTCGGGCTGGCATGCTTTGCTGTCGCCCTAACGCCTTGGATCATCGCAACGAGCATGAAGGCCAACGTTATGTCCTTCGTCATCGGCATCGGACCTGAACGCCTCAATGTATTCCACAGATGGGCTGGATATCTCGTTCTCTTCTTGTCACTCGTTCATACCGTCCCCTTCTACGTACAACCAGTCTGGGACGATGGTGGCATGGAAGTGTTCCAGAAGCTTTTTGAAGGCGGAAGCGGAGTTATCTACGGCACCGGTATCGCCTGCTTAGTCCCGCTGGCCTGGCTCTGCGTCGCCTCTCTGCCACCGATCAGGAGAGTTGCGTATGAGGCATTCATTCTGCTCCACGTCCCCGTGGCCATGGTCTACGTCGGCTTGCTCTTCTGGCACACCAAGAACTACCTGGCCTCATGGGATTATCTATGGGCCACTGTCGCCATCTGGGTTTTCTGTCTCATATACCGCGCTTTCAAGCTCAACTGGCTCAAGCCATGGCGTCTGGCGTTCATGGTTGGTGACGAGGCTGCCATTACTCTTCTGGCAGAAAACGCAATCAAGGTCACGATCCCCACCCAGATGAGGTGGAAGCCCGGCCAGTTTGTCTATCTCCGCATGCCCGGCATTTCTCTCTTCGAGAACAACCCCTTTACCATTTCTTCCTTGTGCAGCGAGGACTTCCCCTCCGAATACGGAGAACAGTACCGAGACTGCGTCGTCGTGTTCAAGCCCTACGGTGGCTTCACGCGCAAGGTCCTCAACACAGCGATCGAGAAGGGGCCTTTCCACACGTACCGTGCCTTCCTTGATGGACCTTACGGCGGCATGCGAAGAGATCTCGCTGCATTCGATACGTGCATCCTGATTGCAGGTGGAAGCGGCATCACCGCATTAATGTCGCAACTCCTCAATCTTATCAAGCGCATGCGCGACGGCAAGGCAATCACGAGAAAGGTTGTCGTCGTCTGGGCCATCAAGCGCCTCGAGTCTCTTGACTGGTTCCGCGAAGAGCTCCGAATTTGTCGGGAGTCAGCACCACCAGAGAGTGTCACTTGCAAGTTCTTTGTTACGTCGACGGTTCGGAACCGCCACCAGCAGATTGGAGGCGGCGCCGACCGCTCAGCACCCCGCGCTCTCAGCCATATGTTCCATGACAAGCTGGACGGCTTCGTTGCCGGCGTCGCATCCAAACGCAACTCGGCTCTCATCCAGGCCGAGGCCCAGGGCGATCCTGCACGCGAGCAGGAACTCCGCGCCGAGAATGAGGACAGAATCACAGCCTTGCCTCAGCAAAAGTACTTGCAACCACACCAATATCCCCCACCAGGACCCAACGGTCCGCCATCGAACAGACACTCATTGCAAGAGGACTCACTCCGAAGGCTCGAGGGCCGCGATTTCCCGCTCGACGTCAAGAGTGATACTGACAAGCGAGCCTCTCGCGACTTCCACTTTCCTCCAATCAACACAAAAGATGCCCCTCATTTCAACTACGCTCCACCACAACCCTCGCCGCGCATGCCGCCACCCGAGAGCCCCTACGCAGATGAGGACGGCTCCGACCTCCCAGTCCGTGCTCCCGAGCTCGCTCACCTCCGCAAGCTCAGCCCTGAGGCCGCGGCACGTGCGGCGGCGCAGAGACCGACCAGCACATTCGGGCCTCCATCAGGCTTCGACTTTGGGTTCCCACAAACACCAACCGAGTTCCAGAAGAACTTGATGCGTTTTGCTTTCCCAATTCCCCACCAAATCGACGGCGGCTGGACCGTCGAATATGGCCGGCCGGATCTGGGCTATATGCTTAAGGAGTGGGCAACAGGCGGCGCCGATGGACGCGGCATCCTCGGCAGACGAACCGCTGTCTTTGTGTGCGGACCTCCTGCCATGCGTGTGGGCGTTGCCAACACGGTTGCGTCGCTGCAGGCGGGCATCTGGGGCGATGATGAGCTTGAGGAGATCTTCTTGCACACCGAGAACTATGCCCTGTGAGAGGGCTGGAAGCTGTACAATCAACCTATCAATGGGAAGGATGTTGAAGTGGATTAGAGATACCATGAGCGATCGTAGGTTGGGGACCAAGACGGGGGATTTGCATACCCACACGGGGACTGATTTGACGGTGCACATTGCCCCAGATATTTACTTAATTAATGTCATGATTTTCCAGCGAAGACATCCGCTTATTTTTGGCCATAATCTCTCTCAAACTGACAGCCTGCCGCGTGTCAAAGTTTGCATTTTTCACCCGATGACCAGACGGAAGTTTTCCTGCTGCCGCCACTGCTTTCATCGCACCGGAACGAGAGTCGCCTTTCCACCTCGACGACCCTCAACGAACATTGGCTCTGGTCCAAGGAATCCATGACCTCCGGATCCCGCAAGACTCGAGCCACATCGGAGAAGGATTTCCCCGGCATAGGCCCATGCTTGAAGTAGGAGTAACAACCCAACAGAACAACAGCTAATGTAAAGAGGTTCGCCAGGGCATACGGTATCAAAAGGCCCAACGTTAAGTATCCGTAACGGTTGACGTCATCTATAATCTCTACAGACATCTTGGCGGGTTGTCTGCTTTTGTGTCAGCGGTTTCGCATTGTTGTTTTACAATTCACATGAGGTGGATCGGCCCTCAAACTCACGTCAAAAGCTCATTGTGCAGCAAGCTAATAGTCACGTTAAAGGCCAGCTGCTGGATGAGTCTACCAAGCGGCAGGCCACCGGCCACAGCCTTGTCTCGCCGGCGCTGCTCCTTGAGGCCCTTCAGCCGCGAGGTGTCAAAGCTGTAGAGCCGCTGGCTAAAGTCGAAGAAGACGTCCAAGTCGTCGCAGCCGAGGAGGACATTGTGCTCCAGCTGCGTGTCGATGACACCGAACTGCGCGGCTCCCGGCGCAGGGGCTGACGCGCCTGCTTTGCTCACCTCGGACACGCTGCGACGTCTGTCAGCCGGCGGCTTCTTGTCCCTCGACGCCGAAGGCTTGGCGTCCGACCACCTTTCAAAATCGGGGAGCAGCGCCTTGTTATTCTGAGGCGTCCGCTCCTGCTGCTCCTGTGCTGCGTCTTCGAACCACGACAGAGAACCCACGACCTGGTCTGTGATGACCCACATGAACGCAGAATAGGCATGCTTCGCCATATCTGTCGCCGCCACCGCCTCGCCGGCTGCGGGGAACCCAACGCGTCCCAGCGGAACCGAGCTGCCGCGGACGCTCTGGACCCCGTGGTCCCACGACACGGCCATGTGGTAGCTCGCGTTCCACAGCTCGCAAACGAGCCGCTGCCTCGCGCGGGGCCGGAGCCCACCCTGCCGCGGCGATCCCCCGTCGGCGTCGGCATCGTCGTCGACGTAGCGTGATAAGCTGATCCAGACCTCGTTCGTCGCATTGCTGGGCGCCCTGTCGCGCGGTTTCGACACGGGCGCGAGCGTGCCGTTGACGCGGACGGGCACAAAGGCGTAGTAGGCGTTGTCGGTCTCGCGGGCGGAACCGAGCGGCTGGGCCATCTTCTGCTGGAGAAAGCCGTCGATGAGGGCCTCTGCGCTCGCATTGGCGGGGCCGCAGCGGACGGTAGGGCCGAAGAAGGTCGTGTTGTAACTCGCGTGGTCATGCGGGGCGGGCAGCGGGAGGATCTCTCCGAGGGCTGAGGCGGCTGTCGACACGAGGCTCAGGGCTGTTCGGGGGCCGGCGAAGGTGCGGGGCTCGTCGGCTGCCAGGTACGTCACGTTCCTCTGCGTCGGGGGGCTGTATGCGAACCGGTGGCCCTCTGTACTGTTTGAGATGGCGAGGTGGGGGACCATTTGGTCTACCACGGACCGCCTGGTGCTGGGAAGAATGTACAGCGTCGATGGCGTGAAGAAGGCTGGGAGGAGGAGACACCAGGCCAGCAGAGCGAGGGCGGACCCGAGCTTGAATCTGCGCAGCATTTCTGTATTGGCGAGAGTCAAAATCGACTCGTTGGCTCCGAAGGCCGCGTTGAGAGCCGAGGGCTCATCGGTTTGCGTTGGAGGTTACGCCAGAGACACTGGGTATAACAGAGCCAGACGGCCGTAACGAAGGAGAATTGCGTGAGAACAGCCAACGCCGTCCCGATACTAGAATAGTGTAAGCACCAGGCTGCATAGGGGTACTGAAGAATGTGAATACCGGATGTTGCTCTGTTGACGATAGCCATCCCCAGCAACAGTCCCGCTCAGATGGATGTAGTACACGATGTGGCTCAATGTTGTGCTCAGACCAACAAGATAGAAGAAACAGAGCAGCACTGCCGGTCGTTGCCAGCATCTCATCGCTGCGGGCGCCGAAACTGGTGCGTCTGTTGTTGCGACTCTTGTGTCAGAGGACGCCCAGGTCGACGCCCGATGTAGAGTATGCCTATCGCTTTGTGCCTGGCACCAACCTGAGGTTGGAGGATCTGTCTGAGGCCCAGAAGACACGTTGGGGAGTGTGATAGTTCGCATGTGACAAATTGCGTCAGGCACCGAGACCAGTTCGCCCGTCTCAGGGCCGAGACCTTTCTTCGGAGACAGTGAACCGAGGTCTGGGAAGTCAGTTGGGGTATTGGCGGGAACGGGGGGTGGGATGGGCGGGTTCTCCTGAGGTAGGCCTCGCTGGAACATGTCGGAGGCTTCCCTGGGCATGTTGGAGTTCTTCATTTTGCTAACCCATCTCGTATTCTGCATTGTGAGCGGACTTGTTGGCCCTTTCTGCTTCGACAGGTATTCTTATACTGGTACGTCTGTAGGCAAACCTCGTCATTCTACTATTCATCGAGATGCGCCGACAATAGACTTCAAGCCTCATCGGCCCTAGCAAAGAGCCGCAGACGCCCCGCGCCGGCCTCGGCCCCTTTCTGACCTCAGATCGTTTCACCCTCTTGGCCATTGAGACGGCGACTGTCAATGTCAAGAGACTCCCGGACCGCGTAACGTTACGCGTCCTCGAATGTAAGAGGCGGATACTGGTAGCCTCGTGGAAGTTGTTGGCACTCATGGCACCATGTGATCAGCGTCTCGTCGCGACCTTAGTGCCGATAAGCATAAAACATGACAGCTCGCTAGCAGCATGGTCCGTGTTAAACTTTTCGACGCAGTTGCTCTCACCAAAAAGACTTTGACGGTTGGGACGAGTGACGCGGAAAGATCAGGCCATCACAGATACCTTTCGAACAATCTGCTCACAATCTTGCTTATGAGCGGCGAGCATCGGATACGGGATGCGTAAAACGTCTTCCGACCTATACATATAGAATTCTGCTTAGTGCACAAACGCCAGACACGCCAGGCGCCGGTTGGCAAAGTGCTCAACGCGGGCCGGAGACCTACGCCATCAGACCATCCTAACCCCTATCTCTCCCAATCCCGGGGAGCTTGTAAACCCATATGGACGATGCCAAGCGCCGAGTCCCGGCTTCCAAGTGTTGACCTCTAAGCACGCATCTCCCCTCTAGGGATCTTGGGACTTCTCCTCTGGCGCCGAGACGGCGGTTTCCGAATTCGCAGTATCCTCGCTCGCGGGTTCCGGCTGTACCTCTTTCTCTTCTGTCGGTGCAGAGGCAGCTTCGACAACGGCGGGCTCCGGCGCTTTCTGGGCCTCGGCCTTGGCCGATCCAATGCCGTCTCCAGTCCGGCTAACAGATCTGGGCCATCGTCCTCAGGTGAGGGCTGCTTAGGTGCCGCAGGCGCAGGTGGTGTCGGGCTTCTCACAGCTGCTGCGGGAGGAGTCAATTCGACCACGACTGGTTGGGCAATGAATTCGGCTACCGGAGTTGGCTCCGCAACGGGTTCGAGAGACTCTGTCGCGGGGACTTCTTCCAGCTTGGGCGCCTCGGCACTTGCGCCCTCGTCCTTCGTCTCAGTCACTTCTTCGACTGGCGTGACTTGCTCTACGGGCTTGACGTCGGTTACTTCGTCCATCACGGGCTCTGTAACACTGTCGGTAATGGTCACCTCGGTGGTTACGACTTCCGTTGGCTTGGCTACTGAGGCTGGCTCTGCAACCTCTGTGACCGGCCGTGTCACAGCCTCGTCTGCGTCCTCCGCGTCTTGCATGGGTACATCAGGACTCAGTTCCGGAGATACAATATCTCCCACACGTTCTGGCGGTGGAATGAAAGTGGATGCCTGTGTCATCTCCACCTCAGCCTGGCCCTCGATCGGTGCCTGAGATGCAACTAAAGCATCTTCAGAAGGGGACTTGGTCGATCCGGAGGTTGCTTCCTTCTCGTTGTCTGCACCAGCTTCGGGCGATGTTTCATTTGCAGGCTGTGATGCGGGCTCGGGCACAGACTCTGGCACAGGCTCTGGTGCGGGCTCTGGCGCGAGTTCTGGCGCAATTTCTGGCGCGGGTGCTGTTGGATTTTCTGGAGAAGGCTCGACAGCGGGCTCTGACGTGGAAACCGGCGTAGCCTCCTTAGCAGGCTCACATGTTGTTTCTGCCTTGGTTTCCGGCGCGCTCGCTTGCGTGTCTTGGGTGGCAACATGTTCCGACACTTTTTCAGCTGCTTCCGTGGCGTCTTCGGGAACCTTGGGCCTCTCTGGCTCAGAGGCTGTCATTTCTGCCGGCTCAGGCTTCTCCGCCGGTGGCGACGTCGCCTGAGGTGAGGCCACTGTTGGAGATGGCATAACAACGTTCTTCAGCGGGCTTCCTTCGAGCTTGGGAGACGTCGACAGCGACAGGTTGAGGGGCGGCGCCAAGAGCTGGCTGGGCAGCGGCAGTTGGCGGCTCGTAGATGGCGACTCAGCATCGCCCATGTCCATGGTAGTATCGGCTGACGCGGGAGGCGCCGAGGGGGATGCGTCGGTCATTTCCTGGTCCTGGTCCTCGCCGTCTTCGCCGTCCTCGCCATCCTCTCCATCATCATCCCCTTCGTCGTCGTCATTATCGTTATCAGCCATCTCGCTGTCTGCATTGTTGGAACCTTCGCGCTGGTCCTGTTGAGGTGTCTGCATTTTCTGTTAGCTTTCGTGACATGGAAAGGGTTCTCCAGGATACATACCGTTGCGCCCTCGACACCCGGGACTGCCGGCGTGGGAATAGTCGCGCCCACGGCTCCTTCTTGCCCGGGTACTGGTGCCGGCAGCGGCAGCATCTTCTTCTTGCGCCCGCGGCCAGGGCCTCCGAGTTTCTTATTCTTCTTTGGCGGTGGCGGCCGACGGTTGCGCGGAGGCGTGGCCTGGGCCTGCGGTGCGGCAACGGCAGCGGGCACAACCGTAGTGGAGATGATTTCGCCCTCGACCTGCTGGCCATCCTGGAGGGTGATTTCCTGGGTGTACGCGTTGCCGGCTGCGTCGACCTTGCGCACCGTGGCCTTGGTGACTGTCGCGCCCACGGCAGGCGTGGTGACTGTCTTGGATGCAATGGTGACGGTGCCTTTCCTCCGCTTGGCGAGATGGGAGACAGTGGCGCCCTCGGCGTTGCGGTGGACCTGCCTCCAGATCTTGATGTGGAAGCCCTTGACGGCCTCCTCCTCCTCCTCCTTCTTCTCGGGCTTCTCGACAGGGGCCTCGGGATCGACCTCCTCTTCTTCGACGGGCGCCGGCCGCTTGTAGAGGCGACCGGAGCGCGCAGCGCGCAGCAGGTCCTGGCTGTGCTGCGGCAGGAGGCCGGCGTCCCGGGGCATGCCCCAGAGAAGCTCGCGCGACCAAATGTCATCTTGCGTGTTGGGGGGGGGGAGGTGGGGTCGGGGCTACTTTGACTATTTCCTGGCGCCATTGCCGAACGGGGAGGCCTTTCAAAGTCTTCGTGTTCGACGTATCCGCCGCGAATTCTCGCTTCGAGTCTGGAAGGAAGTCTTCAAGGTTTATTTTTGTTTGCTCAGTGCACACCAAGATGGGAGGATGTGGATGAGAGAGGACATACGCCTGGCGCCATTTTTTCCTGTTCTTCAAAAAAGTAGGCCGCTGCTGACTGGTGCAAATGCCGATGCTTGGATTGACCGTCAGGGAGCGAGATGTCGTCAAATGCGCACTGCAGCAAGTGGAAACAATGGCGAGGCTGAGAAGCGGGCGCTACGCGTGCGATGCGGGACTACAGATGCCGTCTATTCTGTACGGGTGCTGGAAATAACAGGGCCCAATGCGCCCGTAGCGAAAGCCCAGAGTTGACGATTCGCTCGCTGGTGGTGCCAATTGATGCGCCGCGAGCTGATAGATACGCGATCCTTGGATGCAAACAGGCGAGCACGAGCGTTGACAAGAGTCGCGATCTGAGAGGCACTCGGACCACCTCGAGTCTCCCACTCGCCAGATGACTCAGCAACCACCATCCCCAGAGTCCGACTTTCTGATGATCGACCATTGAAGAGAGATGGTGCGGAAGGAAATGGTGATGTAGAGGATGAATGCATTGAATGAACTCAGTCTGCTCTGTTTTCCAATGGATGGGTTTCCAAAAGTCGTCTGACCGTAGATGTAGCACTTCCATCGACAAAGCCCGTGTCTTCGCAATCTCATCGTGCCGTAGGTAGCGCAAAAGGATGGCGTGGACGGCAGAAAGTGTTGCCCAGGCAAACTCCATTGTGAGAATCTATGTGCTCAGAGGGGCGTCTGTCCTCTATCCAGCTTCCAAAGCATAGCCAAGTCACCTCTCCCGCAGCGCATGCAGCGTCCCCTGCTGCCTACCCTCCCAGCCCAGTCGTTTGTATTTTGGTGTACAGTTTCGTTCCATCCCCGATCATATTGTACAAAGTCCAGCGGTCCTCCCTGCCCGATGATCTCTTGTCGTGCAAGACACAGGGTCGATTGCCAGCTTCCCCTGCCGTGGGGATGATTTAATCGTAACTGTATCACATCAGTAACCGCTCGAGAATGCGAGAAGAAAACGACGTACCCCTGCTCCTTTTGCCTCACAATCTCGCTGTGGTCGCCCTTCTCCTTGCCCTTCCAAAAAGTTAGCATTGAGCAGATTCTGGATAACCGGAAACGCATCACCGAACAACTTACAGCAACGCCGCCCTCGACAACTAATCGGTCCATCTGGAAGAACTGGCTGACCAGCGTTTGACGCTACAGCCCTTCGTCAGTTCCACGATCCTATGCGTACGGAACGGCCCGCCTCCAAGAAAGACAAGGGGTCAAGGCACGAACCTTCATCACCTGCAGCTCCTTGAGGCCCTTCTGGATCAGCTCCTGCACCTCCCGCGAATCCTGGACGTGCTGGTGCTCCCTGAACGCATCCCTCGTTCGCCTTTTCGCGTAGTCCCGGAAGTTGTAGGCCGCAAACTGCTCGCCCTGTCGCAGGAGCTGGCGGTACTACAATTTTGGTTCCTCTCGTCAGTACAACAAAAGTCTTTCTCTGTCCCTGCGCTGAGGCAGGCGCCGCGGGCGGGCGCAGGGTGGTTTGGGCGGGACGTACCAGGGAGCGAGCCTGCTGCGGCGCGTCGCCCTTGAGCACCTGGATCGCTGTCGCCATGGTGCGTGATGCTGTGCTGCCCTGGTGGGTTGAAGGATCGGAGGTAGATGGTTTGTGGCGGACGGACGATCGAAGGGGGGGAAGCGTGGTCGATGGTCAACGGTGGAGGTGCTGGGGATTATTTCGCTGGAGGATTCCCGGGGTATGATGCAACACTTTTCAGCGTCTTCGGCATTATGCGGTTTGGGGGGGGGGCGGTTCGGACTTTGGATGACTCAGCATATCGACATGTCTCTGGCGATGACACCTCACTTTCTTGCCATGACGGGCAGTAGAACAGTGTCACACTCTACGTGCTCTTCATTCGTTGAACTCTTTATGCTTTCCTATTCATTTTCTTAAAAATCGACCGCCCAAATCCGTACCCTGATATGCTGCGCTTTTGTGTAGCGAAAACCAAAAAACAGGAGCCTTCAGCAGGTCGTCCAAGCCTTCCCAGGCTGCCGTCCCTTGCGCGGACAAGATTCGTCAAGTCCTGTCTCTGATCCCGTGACGCTTCTTGAGGCTATGCCCCGAGAGGTGACCTTATGGCCCGGCTACCGGCCAAGCCCAGCAGTCGTGTGCGCTGTCGGTGCTCACGATGCTGCAGGTCTAGCATACCTTCTTGCGAGGCTGGATGATCCGTCCGTCAAGCCACCATTCTTCCTTCTCCATCATATATGCCCAGGAAAAAATTGAGGTGAGGCCTCATTTTGAAGATTTGGCATCAGCCAGCTTCTGCAGTGTGGCCTTATGCAGCGCCTTCTGACCTTCGATAATCTCTTTCAGCTCATCAATCTGCTTCTGCGCCTCAGCACTGTTGCCAGACTGCGTTGCCGATGGTTCTGTAAAGGACAGGATAGCCTTCTCCAGAACGTCATCTGGGAACCCTGCGCTGTTGAGCATGTTCTGGAACCTGCTGGGCGGTGCCAGATCAGCCTCGAGCTGGGCCGTAAAGGTATACTGCCTCTCGGCAAGGCTGGGTTTGATGACTGTGACGGGCCTTGTCGTCTGGGTCGCCTGCGTAAGAGGTGGGAACACGAGGTTCGTAACGGAGGCGTTGAGGTCCGTCAGTTCTGTCGGGTGGCCATTGTCGGTGAGCTGCCACTGAAGAATCTTGCCCTTGGTATGGCCGGTAAGGACGGTCGTGCCGTCGTGACTGATAGCCAGGCACGAAGCTGGGCCGCACTCGGCGTCGGCGACACCTAGCGGAGAAGTGACTTGGACGGCGGTCGAGGAGACTTCGGCGCTGTGCTGGCCGACCAGAGGCTTGGCACCAAAAAGCTCGACGAGGTAGAGTGAGCCGTCCTCACACGAGACGAGGACGGCGCGCGAGCAGGGATCGAGGGCGACGCAGAGAGGGACGCTGGGGAACAGCAAGGGTCCGTAAGAGCTCCCCGGTCTGGTAATTCCAGATGATGCAGGTCTTGTCCTTACTGGCTGAGACGCAGAGGCTGGTTTCGGGATTCACGCTCTGGCTGACGACGAGCGAGGTGATGGCGCCCCTGTGATTTGTCAAGGTCAAGTCGGGTTCCAGCTCTGTGGTGGCGTTGAGCTCGAGGAGGCGGGACAAGGTCCACCCGTGGATATTGGAGTCCTCAGACGCTGTGACAACGTGGTGAGAAGTGGCGGCCACGCAGGTGACGGGCTGGACGTGGCATGGCGGTGTCGTAACCAGACGCCCAGTACATGTCTGCATGCTCGTCAGCCTATCGTTTGCGAGAAGAAGGATATGAAAGGGAGGAAAGGAAACAATGCAGGAGGGACGGAAAAAAAAAAGAAATGGGCACGCACCTCCCACAGCATGAGGCTTCCGTCGACTGTGCCAACTGCAAGGACATCGCCGATCAGGGCCAAGCTTCTGATGCGTTCACCCAAGGTGACGGTCACCTCCTGGGTGCCACGCGCCTTGGAGTACACATGGATCTGGGACTTTTCGTTTTGAGCGGCAAACACGTGGGACGGGCTGATGGCCAAGCAATTCGTCGGAGCAGCGCTTTTTTTGTAGTTGGACTTGACAGCATAGCTCGGCGTCAGAGTGTGACAATGAAGGCCGACATCTTTTGAGATGGCCGTATTGGCGGCGATAGGGGGGCCGCAAACGGCGGAGAAGAATTCCTCAGACAGCATGACGGGGATATGTTGGTCCGAGTAGATGTGCCTTAGTGTGTTAGGCGAGGAAATGAGATCGAGACCGATTCTGGGTCTGGGTCAGGCTTCAGAGTTGCCGGAGCTGAGTGGAGGTGAAAGTGCTGTTGGATGCCGTGGCGGAATGTCACTACCACACTATGCCCAGAGTACGATGGATCCCAACGAGGGGATAGAAGCTGACGGCGGCTGCTTCGTTCCGGACCGGTCTATTCAACGCTGAGCCTGGCCCGATTTGCATAGACTGAAGGCGTTCTTGGGTGAGCCGGCTTGATGTTGAGACGACAAGCGTCGACAAGATGGTGATGGAAAAATAGAGGTTTTTCTTTTGCAGCCGGCGCCGGCTGGCCTTGGTGCTGCGCACTATCTGCCGACGGAGGTGATGGGGGATTGGGGGTTGCAGCAGGAGCAGTCGGCCAAGTGGGGCCTTTAGCCTGTGGCTTGCCTTTCAACACCACAACTGGAAGCGACCACGGCGCTGTCCTCTGTGGTGGCTGCCTGCCACGCCGCTTGGCCCAAGCTCCCTTCGCACCTGCATCGCCCTCATCCAATGCTCCAATGCAGCCATCGTCCGACAATCGACACCATCAATCGACGCTTTCTTTTGAAGGCTTGGGGTCATGCTCACACTCACCTGCAAGCACTAGCAGCACTTGGGGCCACGTCTCCCTGCGGCCAGCAGATAGATCATCTATTCCTTTTTTCTTTCAAGACATTATCCATGTCGCGATCTTGCGTATTCCAAGCATGACAGCCATTGTCTTGGGTGATTCGACTCCTCTGGGCCACCGCCGCCACTGTCATCTGCAGCCACTTCTGGGGGCCCTGTAGGGCTTTTGTTTTCGCCTATGCCGAAACCTCGTGGCATCTCTCTATCCGTCTCGTCACAGGTGAAGCTGGTCGGCTGAGAGAGAGAGAGAGAGAGAGAGAGAGTCCGCAACAGAGGCACCTGGAAGTGAGCAGACAACCGACGACGAGATAGTGACGACAATCCTCCGCAATTACCACCGAGACAAGCAAAGCAAAGCAACTAACGTTTGCTTCATGACTCGACCAGTTACCAACGGCCTGCCGCCAGCTCCGACAACGACTCTCCTCGATAGCGTTGTGCCTGGCGTGGATCGTCTCGCTGCACCTAAACCCCTCCCCATCTTTGCCCAAGTAACCGAGTACCCCTGTCCGCAACCACGAATGGGGGGTTTGCATATGCTACGTCTGGGCTAATTGTCCCCGTCATCCAGCCCACCTCCGGCATGGTAATGCACGGCAGCACCCAATGGATAGGATGCGGCCGATCCGCTGAGCGATCTAGCAAAAGTATGACAGGCAATTGGGTGGATTGTCCGCATGGGTCTTCAAAGGGGGGAGCCAAGTTCAACACCATAGACAGCCGACTCTGTCAAACCTCTGCCGCTACCCGCCGAAACCTATGCATCATTTCCAACACGACAAGGACACGAGCGCCCTACTCATCTACTTGCGAACAGCCAGTGGCGAGCAAGCGCGGCGTTGGCGTACTTCTTATGAATGTGCGACCGTGCGACCAACCGTTCGACTAGAATCGGGACGGGACGTCAGAGATACACTACTGGTCTCTCCCGAAGGTCGAGCGCTCGGCAAGCACCTCCCTTCACACTAGTGTTGGGCCACCTACCCGTAATCATCAAGCCTCTCTCCCTCTTGCCTCGCCTCTTAATTTCTTCGAGTTAGACAGCCCTCATTCAGGAAAACCACCACGGCAGCGGCATGAGGTACCCTCTATGACATGCCGTATGGCTCCGCTCCTTCAGCGATTTTATCCCTCTTGCCCGCCTAGCCGCTTGCCCACCGCGTCGCATGTGTCAGAGGAACCTCGACAGCCGAGTGTTACCCACGATCTGATTCCATCATTGGTGACATCCATGACATACTCCTCTTCTGCGCAGGGCGCCTGCGACTGAGAATGCGCTAATCTCGACTTCTTTGAGTTTGAAGCGGAGGGCACCAAGCTGGACTCGAGTCTTGGCTTCTTGGAGGGTCGACACCCCGATCACGGACCCTATTTTTTTCTTCTTCTATTCTCTCATATCTTGATCCGAGCGTCCGCAGTTGGGGTTTTCGAAGTCAGCGCTCCATCTCCCCTGACCAGGGTGTCAGGATCACCCTTGTCTCGCCATCGGAAGCTCTCCACTTCGACCCCCTTGACCTTCGGCTCTGGTGGAGTGGCGGAGCGGCAACCCTCGAGAAACTGGAGTTGCCTTGTGTCTGTCTACGAATCTCTGTCTTAAAGGGCTACCAGGTGTACACAGCATCAGCTGTGAGGATACTCTGAGTCGGCAAGGGAAGCAAGAGGACCACACCATCCACCCACCCACTCTTCTCTTGACGAGGGGGGATCATGTCTCGCCCTAGGCATCAACAGTTCTTTTTCGTCGAGTGCGTCCGAAAGAAATCCGTGTGGTATCACTGCAGACGCGGCTTTCCTTGCACAAGCTCAGTCTCGTCCCAGTCTCCCGACATTTTTGCCTCCGCTCTGCGCTCCACCACAAGCCCGTCTTCCTCATCCCTCGTCCCCTCGTGCGCCTTCATGTTATCGTCCTCGTGGCGTAGACTTGACCCCGGCCAGCTGCCCTCCGTATAATACACAGGTCACAGCCTGTCGTCGCCAGCCCTGGCTTGCAGCTCTTTTGCTTTCACATCTCTTGTCCAATGGCACCGTAATCAACCCATGTGGCCTGCACCCCATGTTCGCTCTAGACGTCGCAGCAAGCAGCTCCCCTGCCCAAGCCCCACGCTCGGCCGATGCCCTTGCAAATATGGCACGGCGACGAGCACTATCCTCTCCCCGATTTAAAAGAGATTCATCCCCTACCATCCCGCGCAGGCGGTCCGTCCGGAGCATGAAAAACCTCCTGCCATTGGCATTGCATACCAACTGTTACGCCTTTTCGGCCCAGGCCAAACCACTCTTCTTACGTGGCGGCATGGCCCACCTCGACGTCGACGGCGAACTCAACATGGACGCTTGTAACTTTCCCGAGTTGCTAGCAAACGACCTCGAGTTCTCTAACCTGATCTTCACCGCCAAGAACCTGTCCGCCGGCGCCCCCCTCCCCTGCCCTTGGCTCCGATGAAGGGCAATGGCAGTCCTCGGTGGCCCTGTCCAGCGCTGCCCCGCAACAGCACTCTGCGGTACGATTTCAGTCGGCTGAACCGAAGACGGAAGAGAAGACGCAGTTCCGGGCAACGCAACATGAACTATCAGACTCCGAATCCATTTCGAGCGGCCCTTCATTCAGCGAAGTCGAGCCTGCATCCTCAAGGCAACTGTCAGTAATTACCGCTGCCACGTCTGTCACGGGTGGTCGAAATTCTGTGGCTTCCCACAACGCTCTCGTCGCTTGGCCACAACACCGACGCCAGCTGGATAGACTTGGAGCCCGACGTGACTGCGGAGGACGATGGCGCGAGCATCGATGGGGTCACTGTGCAAGACGCCTGCGACCATCTTCAGACGTTGACGAGAGTCATCGAGGCGGCAGTCCTGTACGGGCGGCAACAGCGAACGCTGCGCTACGAGCTGCTCCGAGCCCATTTGAGAGCTTTCCTAGATCTAGCACCCGAACATGGAGCTTGCAAATGCAGGCAGTTCCATCGACCCATGCTGAGCGACGCCGTTCGCTCAATCATGTTGAGATGTCCATACCGCAGCGGAGATCTTCGCTCTATGCCGACACAACAGCCAATTTAAAGAACTTGAGCTTTCTGGCGACGCCTGACTTGTCATGCCAAGCCTCATTCGAGGCGCCTGCCTCAGGCGTCCCTCATCAAGGTCGCGGATCGGCCGAAGCAGAGGCAACGAACCCAGCTCTTGATGACCTCAATGACGACATAGAACCGTGGTTCCGGTATGTAGACCAACAGCATGTCTCCTCCGCCGAAAGACGAAGAACAGTTCATGCCTCGAAACGGCAATCCCACACGCTGCCAACCCCACCGCTGGATGAGGTGCAATCCTGGCTCGACAGCTCACTGGACGCTTCACAGCTGGAAGAGGGCCACCGCATGCCACTGCCGCCAGATGTGGTCGAGACGCTGCGGGTCTCCCTCGCTTGCTTCCCAGAAACGATGTTACTGTGTTCGAGCCTGTCTACCGAGACCATTCGCAGCTATGCAAAGAAGGTGAAGCACCCGGCCAATGAACCAGCCAGCCTACACACTCCGCCCCCGTCACCAAAGAGGTGGAAATGGTCGAATGTCCTGGGTCAGCGACGGAGTGTCTCCTCGTTGAAACGTGATTCGCTTTCACAACGGCATTCCACGGAGCTCAACACGTGCACCGAATCTTCAACAACGACGGCGTGTCCGTCACCACAGCCACCATGGTCACGGCTTCGCAACATTTTCCCTGATGGCTCTGATTATCTGCTGGACGCATTGTACGCCCACTTGGTCGCATATAGCTACGTATCTGGTCTGGTACCCCGCTCCAATACAAAGCACTCAAACCGCGTGGACCGACAGCCTTCGACTCCAAATCATGAGCGCCAATCGATCGAGTCTTTGAAGAGTAGGGATTCGAACTCAAATGACATTCCGAAGAAGGCGGCGCATCTTCTCGGGCTACAAGATGCTGCCACGCCACCTTCTCCCCATTCACCACAAGCCCAACGACTTCGCAAGAAGTCGAGCATTCTGGATACGCTTCGTGGCTCTCGTTTACCGCTGTCGACGCAATCGACATCCATGGATAGTCGGCCTATGAAAGAAATTCAAGTCGGGTTGGCTCGATGCATAGGCCGGCTCGTGACGACGCTGCGTGTAAGTCCTGATGAGGGTGCGGAAGACGAAACCTTACTTTTGGCGGGTGAGGATTCCAAGCTTGAGAACATCGACCCCTTGCTGGTGCGATCGTTGTGCGAAATTGTACGCTGTTGTGAGGAGACGGCGTAAGCCTAGTCTTCATTCTCAACGACGGCGGTCTGGAACATCAATTCCTTCTCTTCTTCTTCTTCTCTTTGTCTTTCTTTTGTCCTCTCTGGTAGGACAGATATTATAAGGTTTGGGCGCGGATGACGGTGTTTATACCCTTGCACAAAGCCGCGAATCGCGAGCCGGAGTTTTTATGGTTGACTCTATCCCGGAGGGGTTCACCGGATCACGTCGCCGGCGGCACGGCTTGATGGACTCTGTATGATATTCATAATGAAACGTTCTAAATTGACTGGTATGATACCACTTGTGCTTTCTCTCATCTCGAGTATGCCTTATGCTCTATTATCAAGGGACTTTTCCTCTAACGGCCAAAGATATTCCAACTTGACGACGTTGGCTTGGCGAGGTCCCGAGACTGTGATTCGCAATCACGGAGCACGACCGATTCAGAGAGTGGTAAATTAACCCCAGGTTTCAGACTCTCGCGAAGCTCATCACGAGTCGTCACCTCGCTGCACCCTCACCCCACCAGCCCATCTTAAATCTTCAGCCCTGTCCTAAATGGAAGACTAGAATGGGAAGATTCAAGGGATGATGCCTGGCAGAGCAGCAGCGTGGCAATGTGTCGTCATTCGCGATCTGGACCGCATCAGGCGTGTGGCCTCGTCGCTCTCCCCCCCACACCCCGGGTGGCAGCGACCAGGATAGGGGGGAAGAAAAGATGTTGCTGACTTCCGATTCCCGGTGCTTGCACATCTCCTCTTGAAATTCTCATGAGGGTCTTTTGTGCACCAAACCCTGCTGCCTGGTGCTGCACAAAACGGCCTTCCTCGACGAGGGCACAGGGAGAAGGCACACTCTCGACGTGTCAAAACAGGATTGCGATCATCCCGTCATGATTTCCCACCTCGCTCGCGATCAGCAGCCGCTGGGTCGAGGTATCAGGGAGGAAGGCTCATTGTGAATAGTTGGCAAACGCACAGACGAGGCGCAGAACGCCAGGCGGGCAGGCGGCCGGGGGGGGGGATATACAGAATGCGAGCAAAGACACAGCACTCGTGGCCCAATTCAGCCGTTGACATGGCGATCGACTCGCTGCAGAATCGCCGCACGGGCGCGCGTGTCCATCTGTTTCCTGATCACCCCCCTTTTTTCGTTCAAGTCGAGTCCCTTCAGGGTCTGACGAAACGACGTTTTAGCCGTATAGAGAAGGCTGCTCGTCGATCATCGTCCGAGTCCCCTCTCTTCCCGAGCCCGCCTCCCGTCCACAGTCGCTGGGAAAACACAGGGGGGAAAAGGGGGGTGGGAACGGTGTGGACCTCGCGGGTTGCGGACGCATTGGTCGGGCCGCGGTGCGGGGGTCACGGACGCTTTACCGTATCTGGACGGTTCCTCCGGGCTTTTGGGGAGGGGTTATAAGCCGGGCGTCAGACGTGCGGAGGCCGCGAGATGGGAGTTCGGACGCCTGGCTCGTCGGAGGAGGCGCCGGTGCGGTATGGACAGTTGCGATATCTGTCCGACAGCGTCACGTGAACCCTTCTCTGGGGGCACATCACTGGATAGCAGCAAGGCTGTCCACGAGGTTGTAGCTCGAACATCGCTGGCCTGCTCAGATGAGTGATCGTAGTATTGGCCATACACGGCACCCATAGAAAGAGGCTAGACAAAGGCCCAGTGCCACCGAGATACCGCTGAGATCGAGTACACGTGACCGCTCGCCATGAGCGAAGAGGAACAAGCGCCCACTTGACTCACTAAGCTAGTTGGCTTCCATGTCGACGGACTCTCTGAAGCCGTCCAAAGAATGAGCGGCATATCAATGTTAGCTTTTACTGATTTGTCTTGGAGAGAACAGATGAACTGCTTTCTGAGCTATTACCTTGGAACGGGGATGTTGGTTACAACACGAACATGGCATGTCACAGCACAATTGTGCACCAAGTTAAGCTCCAGCCACGTCGTAGTTATCATTAAACAAAATTCTAGTTGCCAGTTAAAGGTCCCCTCATCCCCTCCTCGTCCGCACCTAGGGGACCATTGGCTAGTACATGAGAGACACCTCGCGTGACCACGCCGCTTAGTGGATAACAGCGGCGGTGACGTTGGCGGGGGCCTCGGGGGCCACGACACCAGCACCAGCGCCCTGGCGGCCGACCTGCAGGATGTTCTCCGCGCCAGGCGTGTTCTGAGGAAAGCGAGAGTTGAACTTGATAACATCGCGGGCGGCAATAAAGGTCTGGGGCTGGATGCTGAGCTTCTGGGTGGAGACGAGCCACTGCACACCCTCGCTGCAGGGAGGGGTGGTGAGAGAGCCGGAGTAGCTGTGTCTGTGTCAGTGTCTGTACATACGTGGAATAGAGAGAACACAACTTACGCCTGCAAGTCACCGGCTGTGAGGAGAGAAACAACTTCGGTCATGTCGATGGCACCAAGAGGAGTGACGGTACCAGGGGTGGCAATTTGACCAACAGAAGCAAGGACAGTCTCGAGAAGAGGCGAAGCCACAGCGTTGGCACGCTTAGCATGTTTGCTGCGGGCGGCCTCGCGCCTGAGCACCTTGTCGAGGCCACGTCGGGCCATGGGGGCATGCGCGACGGCGGCAGGGTCCTGAGCCATGGGAACGGCAGGAGCTGCAGGAGTCGCGGGAGCGTGGGCGACAGGAGGCGCGGGGGCGTGAGCAGCAGGAGCAGCCGGGGCATGGACGACGGGAGCTGCTTGGGCGGGGACGGCCGGAGCATGAGCGGCGGGGACGGCCGGAGCATGGGCAACAGGGGCAGCAGGCTCGGCAGGGACGGCAGCCTCGGGCACGACCGGTGCGGCGGGTGCGGCGGGAGCGGCCCCGGCAGCGTTGTTGTCGATTCCAATGTAGGTACCAATGACAGCGATCTGGTTGTCGGCGCTCTGGAAGACCATGTGCATCTCCATAGCCTGGCTGGTGCCATCATCGAGGTGCTCGCTGGGGAGATGGAAGTGGAACTGTTGCATGGTGTAGGCAACGCCGCCGACCTCCATCGTGCCGCCTTCAGCGACGACCTCGACGGTGGTGCCAAGGTTCTCGAAGAGAGTACCATTGGCAATGTTGGGGATCTGGAGGTTGATAGAGCTGCCGGGGATGAGCTCGAAAGTGCCCGTGGTCATGTCAATAGGTGACTGCTGGGTGCCAGTGGCGCAGAGTGCGTTGGCATTATCCAGGTTGACCCAGTTGAGAGGACCCTGCTCACACGTGTGAGTAAGCGGTCCATTGTGAAACGGTATGGGACGACAGAGCATGGGTACACTTACGATATCGCCGGTGTAGCCGAAGGTGTTGATCGTCACAGCCCTCCTCGGCGCGAGGCATCAAGTGGGTGCCATAGGCGCAAGAAGCCCAGCACTGCGTCACAGACGCGACCATCACGAGGGCCCGAAAATAGTGTAGTGAACCATGTTGAAGAAGGAGAAGAAGAAGAAGAAAGCTGTGGGAGCCCAGGCGAAGAAAGTTAAAGGCTTGGTTATCAAGGTTGGACTTGGGAAAAGAAGGTTTTCGAGTGAAACAGAGACCGGCCCTGCTGAAAGAGTGAGATACAAAAAGTGTTCGAAAAAATAGAGACAGAAAAGAACAAACAGACGAGTGTCTGAAGAGACGGAAAAGGTGCGGACAGAGGATGTTGAGCGGGATGGGGAGCAAGATCATCTCCATGTCTCGGCGGTTGCATACATGGTTATATACCACGACTCTGGTCCGCAGACCGCTCGTGGCCTACGATCCTCTATGATCGACTTTCAAAAATCTAACAATAGAAATGATGGCTGCATGATGAGCTACCGAGCAGTAGATCCCGCCGGCCTTCCAAACATTGTGAAAAGAATCATGATAACCCCTGTGGCCCAAGTCAGGTCCACATACAAGGGCACTCTAATCAGCAGGTAAGTGCAGTGTTTCGAAGCAGCAGCCAGGAGGGCGCCCAAGAGCGGAACGAGAGGACACAAGCCTAAGGTTGGCGTAGGGCGCTACGTGAGGGAGCGGTGGTGCAAGAACACCGTCAAGGACGTTCTAGGTGCCGTCCGGGGTGGATGCGCCTGCGGGATGTCGCAGAGGGTCTACCTGGGATGTGGTAGCCCGAGAGGAGACCACCAAGACTTGCCATAAAGTACTGAAACCGGGGCGACTAAGGATGAGAGATAGACTGCGTGGGGAATAAGGCCATTTTTCTTCGGACGGTCCTCTCCAGGTCAAGATTCCCAAGGCAGCACCATCTGAGCCAGACCCCCGGCATGAACCAGATTGCCGGTATGGGCCAGCGGGCGACTCAAGTTGCGACGGCAGGTCTGTCCTGCGACGCGCTGAGGCCTGACATTCTAGCTATGGCGTGAAGGGGGTCAAGGGGCTCAAATGCCAAGGTCTGTAACAGCCGTCCAGTGGGTTTCTCAGAGGAAGACTCTGGTGAGGTGGCCGCCATGGCGATCCTTGATGATGGGAAACAATATCGACCACCATGAGAAAGTTCGATCGAGCTAAACAAGACATGCGGCTCTGCCATACCAAGCCGGTCAGAAGCAGCCAAGAATGTCCAAGAAAAAAGGCGTCGATGATCCCTCGTGGTTGCGATGCAGATGGTGGCCAGGCCAAGGTTGGCTTGTCCAGACACTTAGCAAGGCTTAGCGTCCGGGGGGAAAAGGCCCCCAAACCCCCAAAAGCTTTCCAAGGTGGCCCCGTTCCCGTACGTTGGGGAGCCTGGGCGGGGCTGCCCTATAGAGAAGAGAAGGAATTGCCGGGCCTGGGCCTGGGCCCTCTCTGTTCCCCTGGAGGTAGCCCCGGACGTGATGGCTGAAAGCTCTAACTGGAGTTCCGACGATGTGAAACGAGTGCTGAAGGCACGAAGGCTTGAAAGCCAGGCAAGCAGGCACACGGGGCTGGCTGCTTTGAGGCGAGCAAACCGCGAGAGTTGCCCAAGCCGGCCTACGGCAAGGAGCACGGATCAAAAGGAGGCCTGGCGCAACAGAATAGGCTGGCTGGCTTGTCGTCTCGAGTGGGAGCAGTAGGTACGGTAAGGTGGAAGAGGTCGAGACGCTTGGACGGGGGCCGACTGGGGGGCCGACTCGGGGGTAAACCCATGGGTAAGAAGGAAAAAACAGGTGATTTCTGCAGACCCAGAGTCAGAGATGGACCCCTATGAAACAGGGAGGACCTTCTGCTGGAGGGAATCAGCAGCTCGATGACTGGCTGGCCACCATCCGAAGCCGACCCCTGTCGAGCGCCGGCCTCTGATCCCATCCAAGCTTCAAGACGGTATCAGTCTGTGCTGTCGAGCGCATGCGACGGCGGAGCAGCATCTCCATGGCGTTGATTGGGTCGAGGAACGACAGTCTTTGATCGTCCGTCTCGGTCTTGAGTGTTGACTGGAGAGCCAAGATGCAATTCCGTGAGGGCATGGACGATGTGCCGCATGACAACCACGACTCCTTCGGGCTGTGGCGCGTCTGGGCCAGCGCCGCCCCGGTCGTATTGAGTCAATCTTGAGGAGGGCCGCCTGGCCTCTCGTTGACCCACGATACAATACGGTCTTCATTGAGACAAAACATGTCATCAATAGAGAAAGACATGTTGCAGCGAAGTTCAGATGCACAGCATCCGACTGGCGGTGTATGCGGGAGCCTGTGATGGCAAGCGACGGTCGTGTTAGCCAGATCAAGTGGTGTTGTTGCTGTTGGGTGCTGGGGTCATGCGTCGGTGACGGTCTGTTGCCTGTGCTGCCCCCCCAAGATGGCGACGAAACAACCACCCTCCCCCACTGACCCGGCCTCCCCTGCCCTTGCCTTCCTCACCTTACCTCTTTCTTTCCTCGCTTCCTCACCTTACCTCCCCCTCCCTTTCTCCTGCCTACCTTAAGTGCCTTACCTTACCTTACCTTGCTTACTTCCCTAGGTACCTAGGTAGGTAAGGTAGGTAGGTACCCACTCCAGCATCTTCGGTACCAAAGGCCTGCTAGGTCGCGCATTGGCCTGTCAGTGCTTCGGTGACTCACCGTCGTCTACCCGTTACGTCCTCGGTGTATATGTAGGTAGGTAGGTGCCTGGGTACTTAGGTCGGTTGTACAGGGACGAAATGAGGTGGGTGGCAGGCAGGCAACAGCGCCTCGTCAACAATGCCTGGAAGGATTCTGTGGAGAGTATCAAGATACCACCCTCTTGATAACACAAATAGAGAGGGTCAAGAAGTCGTTCCCGGCATTTCCCAAGGTTATCCAGCCGCTGCTGCAGATCATTCACACTTTGCGCAGACATGGTCGCCATCAAACAGATCCGAGCCTGCAATGCCCAGCTCAACGACGAGACGGTGCCTCGGACCGCCGTCTTTGTCGGTGCTACGTCTGGCATTGGGAAGGCCACGCTGCAGTCTCTGGTCAATATTGGCTCTCCCATGAGAG